ATTTTCTAACCGGAGGACTCCCTTTAGTATTTCTTGTAATTTTGGTTTGGTTTTTGCAAATTCCCTAAACTGTTTATCTGGAAATGCCCTAATTTCTGCATCATATTTGAGAGACAGTTTTACTGGATATATAATTCTTGGCTAGCAGTTTTTTTCCGCCAAGGCTTTATATATGTCATCCCATTGCCTTCTTGCCTGCATGGTTTCTGCTGAGTAGTCTGAGCTTATTGACTCTTCTTTGTAGATGACTTTTCGTATATTCCTAGCCACTCTTAAAATTCTCTTATCTTTGGTTTTGGCAAGTTTGATTATAATATGTCTTGGTGACTTTCTTTTGGGATCTACCTTATGTGGGGTTGATGAGCATTTTGGATAGATATCTTGCCATCTTTTATGATATCAGGGAAGTTTTCTGCCAACAAATCTTCAGCAATTCTCTCTGTATTTTCTGTTATCCCCCCCCATTCTGGTACTCTAATCACTCGTAGGTTATTCCTCTTGATAGAGTCCCACATAATTCTTAGAGTTTCTTCTTTTTCTTTAATCCTTTTATCTGATTTTTCCTCACATAAGTTGGTGTCAAGTGCTTTATCTTCATTCTCACTAGTTCTGACTTCCATTGCCTCAATTCTGCTCCTATGACTTTCTATAGAGTTGTCTAATTCTGAAATTTTATTGTTAATCTTCTGGATTTCTGATTGCTGTCTCTCTGTGGATTCTTGTAGCCTGTCAAATTTGTGATTATGCTCTTCTCTAATCTTTTTAATTTCTTCTGTTGCATGTTCTGCGTTTTGCCTATTTTCCTTCTTAATTTCTTGAATGGTTCTGTATATTAATCTTTTGTATTCTGCCTCCAGTAATTCCAAGAAATTTTCCTCCTCTGGAAAATTTCTAGATTCTTTATTTTGGGAGCTTGCTGAAGCCATCATGGATTGTCTTTTGATGTCAGTTGATATTGACTGTTGTCTCTGAGCCATCAATAAGTTATTATATTTGTTTATTTTATGTTTGCTTACTGTGTCCTAGCTTGTTTTGTTTTGATATGCCCAAATAGGCTGCTCATATGAGCTAGTTTGATTATTGACACCTTTGAAGCTCTAACATCCTGTCACCAGGTGGTTAGATCTGCTAGGTAGGTGAGCTCAGGAGTCTGCCACTCCTCCTATATCGATTCAGCTCAGGTGCCCAGGTAGATGGCCACCAAGTGTGTGGTGTAGGCTCTCACTTACAGTCCTAGACAGGCATGGGTGATTGGTATAGCCACAGGTTTCTAGCTGCAGCAGGGGGACATACTCTGAGCAAGGCAGGGGACTGACGGCCACCCCGAGCGTCCAGGAGGAAGGCGTGTCCCTGTTCCCTAGAGCGCGTAGGTGGATGGGTTTTGCAGCCAGACTATAAGCACCTAATGCTGTTGGCCGTAAGGACTGGGGGGCATCTCTTATTCATGGGCCCCTATCGCAGGTGGCTAGGTGGTGTGGGTGGAGACACCAGTCCTTAGGCACCTGATGTGAGTAGGTGAAGATCCTGCTTAATGGGCAGAGTAATGTCAGATGTCAAGAACCTGCCACTTCACAGCTGAAACAGTTGAAGTTAGACTTCAGGTATATGCCTTGTTGTACTACAGTAATGAGGACGTACGGTGTTGAAATGGGCCCACACAAATCTCTGCAGGGGGAAAAGCACTCATAGTCCGTGGATCCCTTATGCGTGTGCCTAGGCAAAGGAGCTGTGCCTACCTTGCGTTTCTGGCTTAGGGGATCCATCAGGTTTTTTTTGTTTTCTTTTTCCCCATTTGTTAATTTGTTCACTCTCCAAGGCTGGGAGAATGGCTCCGGCTGTGTGACAGATCTTAGTTCCGGACGAGGGGACTCAGCAATTGCTGTAGCTGGTCTGGGACCCAGTGCAAGGCAGGGAGCGGGGAGGTAAATGGGAGAGAGGTTTTTCCCTAAGGAGGGTGTTTTTGATCCGCGCGGTAGGTCGTACGCAAGTACTTATCTTTCGCAGATACAGGGCTGTTTCTCGCTGGTTGTGGGTGGCCATGTAGACTCATGGCTGCTTGCCTGCTTCACCACTCATCCCCAAGCTGATCAGGCCTGAAAGGCTCAGTCTTTCACCAGGTCAGGTCTGGCAACTCCTCGCTGCTTCCGAACTATCTCTCCCTCCCCCTGCCACTCAGTCCAGTTCCTCAACTCTGCCTTTGATGTTCAGGGCTCCCAGATTGCCATATATAATTGATTCACTTGTTTTTTTCTGGTCTTTGTTGTAAGAGGGTCCACCAGAAGCATCTGACTACTCTGCCATCTTGGCCCCGCCTCTTATGCCATTTTCTCTGAATCTTGGCAACCTGGACTAGACTGCAGCAGCATTTAAGAAGCAGGGCTCCACATCTCTGAAAGCTTTGCCCTGGAGGAGGCAGCTTTGTGGCACTGGGGCCCTCACTACTAGTTAAGACTGTTGGCCTCTGCCCACTGCCACTGCAGGACGAGTTGTGTTTGCTTCAGGTGCCGTGGGAGACATCCTTTCACACCATTCCCAGCACTTGTTGATCACAGAAGTCGTTGGGTTTTTTTAATACCTAGGTGATTTTATTTATTTATTTTTATAATTTATATTATTTTTGTTTTTGTTGAGAATATACATAGCAGTACACCAGTTCAATAATTTCTACATGTACAACTCAGCGACATTGATTATATTCTTCGAGTTTGGCAGCCATTCTCACTCTTGTTTTCTGAGTCGTTCCTCCCCCATTAACATAAACTCACTGCCCCCTACATTTCCTATTCAGTCTTTCTAGTTGCTGTTGTCAGTTTGATCCCGTAGAGATAGTTCTTAAAAGAGCACAGTGCTTAAGGCACACATTCTTTACTACATAAACTAGACCATTGTTTGTTTTTGAAAAGACTAAAGGGGGTATTTTTGGTTTAAGGTTTAAAGATTATCTCAGGATAACGTGATTTTATTTTTATGACTGTTTCTAAATAACAGCAATTAACCTTCAATATGCTGTGTTAAAGATAGCATCTGCCTCTCGTGTACAAACTGGGTGTTATGGAGATGGATATAGGTTGTCTCATTTCATAAACAGTATCCAGGCCTGGCTTGACATAAGGCTAATCTCCAGTATTAGAATATCTACTTTTTATTTGTGAAGAAATAATTATTCTTGGGTAGTGAACAATATTGTTTAGGATATACCTATTAAAGTTTTATATGTATGTATATTGAGTAACTTTATCTCTGTGGGACGTTTTCCACTTATAAAATCTGGGGCTTGGTAGTAAAAGAAAATGTTTCTAACCGGATAAACCTCAAACCATTTATATATCTGTATGTAAAAACATCTTCTGGCCCTTTTGGGGATTCTGACGTAGAATGTAGCCATGTCCTGGTTTTGTTTCCCCATGTATGTCTAATCACAGTCTCCTCTCCTTGTGCATTAGCTCCCAGTTGAGGATAAGATCAGGATCATTGCACAGAAAATCTATGGGGCAGACGACATTGAATTGCTCCCCGAAGCCCAACACAAAGCCGAAGTCTACACAAAACAGGTAAATGTTTGATTGGTTTGTTCTTTCAGCTCTTTACAAAGTTCTCCAGCCCTGCCAGGCACTCACTGTTTTACTTCTCTGGGCAGCAGCCTTTCCTTACAAGTGCGATATTTGGATTAGGTGGTCAGGTCGCAAGTTGTTTTTCTACTTTGAAATTCTTTCTTGAAGGATAATCCAGGCAATACATAGCAGAAGGTCGATAGTTCGAATCTACCAGCCGCTCCTTGGAAACCCTATAGGGTAGTTCTGCTCTATCCTATAGGGTCCTATGAGTCGGAATCGACTCAATAGCAATGGGTATACGTATCATGAAGAGGGCAGCAGTGGTTCAGTAGTAGAGTTCTCACCTACCATGCAAGAGACCTGGGTTTGATTCCCAGCTGATGCACCTCAAGTGCAGCCACTACCTATTTGCCAGATTGTGGAGGCCTGTGTGTCGCTATGATGCTGAACAGGTTTCAGCGAAGTTTCCAGACTAAGATGGACTAGGAAGAAAGGCTTGGTGATCTACTTCGGAAAATTACCCTATGGATCTCAAAAAGGCTGGGTCCCATTACCCATGGGGTCACCGTGAGTCGGGCCAACTCAACAGCAGTTAACAACAACAACATACATACCGTGGGTGGCATATGAGTGTGAGAAAGCCATGAGGAAATACGGGATGTTTTACTAAAATATTGAGAACCTGCCTTCAGTTGTATCCTCATGTCTACTCCATTTTTAATTTTTAACTTTAATTGGTTATATAAAAGAAAATAAAACATTCACTTGTGGAATATGGTTGTCAGTTCTTACCTCCCTCGTCCAACTGATTCTTCTTTTGGTCTGGGATAACTAAGCTGGAGGGTAGTGAGGTAGAGATGGATGCAAAGGTTGATAAGTGTTCAAATAAGTTGAAGAATGCATACAGTTACGATGCCCAGATGTTTTTTGTTGCATTTGTCTACTTTAATTTTTCCTGCCTCTCTTTCCATCTCTCCCCAGGGCTTTGGGAATCTGCCCATCTGCATGGCCAAAACACACTTATCCCTGTCCCATAACCCAGAGCAAAAAGGAGTGCCAACGGGCTTTGTACTGCCCATCCGCGACATCCGCGCCAGCGTGGGGGCTGGTTTTCTGTACCCCTTAGTAGGAACGGTAAGTGAGTGCTGCCAATGGAGCGAGGTGCTCGTTCACCTGTGCTTCTAGTCTTAAATTCATTGCGGAAGACACCAAGCAAGTGCTAAATGAGCAGATTCACTGCCAAGGAAAAAGTTGGAGTCGGGCCTGTTATGATTCATCTCCTGCAGTGGACCATCTCGGTGTCAATTCAAGTTGATGCCATCACTGCTTCTACTGAATCAGAAAATCTGTTTCCCGGGGACAGTGTGACCCTAACTGAAACCAGAATGGGCCTAACTGATAGTGTGGTAATGCTGATATGTATCATGGCTAACGTCTGTTAAGCACATTAAACAAATGAACTCAGTCCTCCCAATAGCTGTTTGAGACAGTAACAGAGGCTGTACATCTCCCTGGTCCTGAGCTAATGCCTGAAATTCAGGGAATTCATTGGGTTGTTTGTTTTTTAAAAAAAATAAGGAATTTCTCTTTTTAAAATGCAAATGAACCCTGTAAATGTGAAAGGCGAGATTGCTTATTACACTTGAAGATAAATTAGTTGTTAAACGCTCTCACAATTTTACAGATTTTGTGAGTATTAAGGGAGGAAGCTTGCTGGTAGGGAAGTTGAGGGATGTTTAAGGACCTAATCACAGTTTAGTGACATACTGCCTAATTTAAGGAATTTGCTCATCCCATTAGATGCCCTTTCGGAGCGATGCTATTCTTTCAGTGTAGTAAGAAAGTGGTAGGAGGTGGCAGTGTGTAGTCAAAAGTGCATGACATGAAAGTTAATCTAGTTTTCACCTCTGCCAGTTGGGGCCTTGAGCAAGTTATTAAGGCCCTGAGCCCCCACTCCCCTCATCTGCCAGTGTGGGGCAATACCATCATGTAACAATCAAACGAGAGGTTATACGCAACGTGGTCAGCACAAGTGCCTGCCCGCCAGTGCCTCCCTCAGCCACTGAAGAGGGCAAAGGCTGAGCCTTGTTATGATGTTCATCGATCTTTAGGATTTGAAGAAAATCCCTTTTAATAGGAATGCCACACGGTTTACCCATCACCTTGAATAACACAGAAATACGTGTTATTCTTTCTGGAGAAATTGTCAGTAGCTACCAGTCAAGAGTGGTAGCTGCACTCTGTACAGGGACATTCCGTGCCTGCGTGAAGGGGGTGACTGTGGAGACGAAAGCACATCTGAAAGTGGTCAGGCCAGAGGGAGTCTGCCTGCAGGTCAGAGAGAAACACCACCTGCCCTGCCCAGGACTGGATCTCTTATCTGGACCAGGTCTTGGGGAAGGGGCCTTCGACTTTATCTTGGAACAAGACATTTCCACACATAATCTAGATGGCTTTGCAGTTACTATTCTTAAAACTTTCTGTTTGCTAATTGGGGCCAAGAGGATTTGAGTATTATATCTATTAATTCAAAGTATGGTGGCTTCTTTTCAAGGTTTTATATCTAGGTTCATATGTGTGTATACAAATAATCTTTTTTTTTTTTTTTTTTTTTTTTTTTGGTATTTTCTGATTATCAACATGAATAATGTTTAAGGGGGAATCCTCTTTGGGAAAGCGTAAAAAATCACCCCAAATCATACTATCTAAATATAATCACTGTTTTAGGGGACTGTCTTTAGAGTTTTCTTTCTACGCACACATGCGTGTCTACATCAGTAGGCCCAGGCTCTTTATCATGTCACCTTCAGGCTTTTCTGCTAAGTTTGAGGACCAGTTTTCTCCTTTTTCCTTCTTGCCCCACACCCAGCACTTCCTTATCTCTTATAGACTACAAGGGTAGAGACCCACCTCATATCCCCATAGTGTGTTCTGGGAAATATTGATTGGCACTCAGATACCAGAATAAGGTTTTCTAAAGTATGGATGTTTTGTGTGACAGAAGATGACTCATCCTTAAAGATGACTCATCCTTTTCTATAACATTTTTACAGTTAAGTTTTGGAAGTTCAGCCTACACTGTTTTCCTGTCTGAATTTGATTTGGAACTTGTGTATGCTCATTATACAAGAGATTGTTACAGATGAAAATATACCAAGTTTTCACTTACAAGCCATACAGATTTGTATTTAAGTAGATATTTGCTAAAGCCAAGTCTTTAGAAAAGTGCAAATATATTTCATAAGCCTTACAAGCTCAGTTTTAGAAGGTCAAATTGGACCAGGGAGAACAGTGATTGTAAAACCATCTAGATTGTGTGCAGAAATGTCTTGGCCCAAGTTAAAGGATACTAATCCCTAATGTCATTTTGATGAAGCAAAAACAACAAGGGCATCTACACAAGACTGTTTAAAACAAATCAAAAAAGCACATAGGCCCTGTGCCTCCTAGGTCTTGTAAAGTGAGAGTAGAAGGCGTAACTGATTCCTCAGCCTCCCAGCAGCTGCCATTGTAGGATGAAGGTAAAAGCACCTCCTGCTGTTTCCTGTTGCAGTTACCAGTCTGGACGACAGTCATGAAGCCTGGCATTTGGTTTTACTGAAGGACATGAGGGTTTCTCTGAGCTTATAACACCATCAGTGACTTCATTTTTAATGTAACAGAAGAAACATGCCCCCTTTATTGACAACTATAAAATGATGTTCCATCTTTGTGCTTTGGGTTTTCTATCTGAGGGGAATGTGGAAGAAAAGATTAGGTTAATTTTTTTTTTTAATTTTGTTGTTGAGAATATACACAGCAAACCATACATTTCTTCAGCTTTTAATTGCTCCCCCCACAAAAAAAAAAAAACAGTCTGGAATTGAGGTATGATTTGCACGTAGAGCTGAAATTAAGTTAATTTTTAGTGCTATTTCACATCTTCTAGATGAGCACAATGCCTGGACTCCCTACCCGGCCCTGTTTCTATGATATTGATTTGGACCCTGAAACTGAGCAGGTGAATGGGCTCTTCTAAACAGGTAAATTGTTACTGGTGAAAGTTTCGATTCATTTCTTGTGAAGCTTATATATGAATTATAGAGCTGAATTTCCCAAACAAAAGCTATGAAAATTCAACTTTTTAATGCTTTCAAAACATTCTTTCCCAGACATCACTGAAATGTAAAAGTACAAAAAAGGAATAAATTCATGTAGAGGAGTGAACCCAAAGGAGAGGGAACAGTAATGAGAGTTGGCAGTAACCAACAAATGAAATATTTCAACACATTTTTGGAAGACAGAGCGTGGATTGTCACAGGTTGACAGTGTAGAGGAGAAAGCCGCTGTTGAATCATGGAGGGCAGGACCTGCTGAAGGTCTGTATACTCTGAATAGACAGAAAATAAGAGTTGAAAATATCCCAGAAAGTAGAACAGAGAAAGAAACAGAACCAATCCAGGAATTCTTGGGACATGAGTCTCAGTTGAAAGGCCCCCAAAGTGCCCATCGCAGTGAACGAAAAATGATCTATCCCTAGACACTTCCAGTTGAAATTCAAAAACATCAAAAAAGAAAATCCTAAAAAAAAAAATGGCTTGCCTATGAAAAAAATGAGAATTAGTCCAAGCACCTTTTTACTTATCAGCAGTAAGATGCTTGTAGGCAATAGAGGAATGCCCTCCAAGTTCAAAGGGGAGGATGACTTCCCACCTGTGTTTCTACCCAACCAAATCTGTCCGGGTATTTTCAGACACTTCAGGGTTTACCACCCCCACATCTTTTCCTAGGAAGTTATTTAGCCATGTGTTCCAGAAAATGGGGAATTAAGCCAGGAGTAAAAGAAGACATGGGTTTTGAGAAACTAAACCTGATTTGGACAAAAATAAAGAAGTGTCCTGACAACTGTTTGGCTGGCCTAGAGTTAAAAACCCAGTGTGGACCAGGAGGAGGGAGGACTTGAGAAAGACTAGAAAGAACTAGAAAAGACAAGAGTATCATAAAGATTAATATAATGCAGGACAAGAGATCTAGCATTGTTTAAGAAAATAAAAGTCCAGGTGGAAGCAAAATGTAGTAATCATTTTAAGCAACTGTAAGGATGGTAAGAAGAGAGAATTTGTGTGCTTGATGCTAGCAGAACACTCTTCTTCAAGGGGACAGATTGTGACATGGAAATGTAATCCAAGCTCACTGCATAGCCTGGGCTTGAACAGTATCCACATAGCCATAATGTAAATGCTGTGTATTGTTTCCAAGTTTTCAATCAACTTATGGGCAGATCCTAGAAGAGTTGGTTATGGAAAAGGATGTAAATGTTAACAGCCTTGACAATGTAAAACTGTATTGGTGCAGTGTGGAAGAGAAGAGGAAACTCAGAGCTTCGAGAAAACATTTATTTACTGTTTGTTTTTCCTTCCAGATTGTCCATCTTCAAGAAGCTACTTTGAAAGTTTGACTAGTGTCTATTTTGTGCCTGCTGTAAGCTAGGAAGTATGGGGAAATCGAGAGAAGTCAGCCCCTGCCCCAAATATCTTCTGAAATACACTGGGAGTTTCTTCTCCGGAAGCCTTCCTTCAGTCTTAGTTCCCATCTTCATGTGTAAATTAACAGAAATCATGCACATGTCTATTTAGAATAAAATGATGTAATTTTGCTATCTCAGTGTTTAAATATAAGTTGTAGCTTTTATAGACTATGCAGCAATATCTTTGCCATCCTGTGTGAGCCCATTTGTTAGATAGACTCCTGGGAGTGAAAAAGCAAGTTGCAATACATACAGTATGATACTGTTTGTGTTTAAGGGGAAAACGTGTGTCTGCTTGTGTATTTCTGGGAGAATGAATAATCAGGAGACCTCCTGAGAGAGTTAGGGTGGAAGTAGAGTATGGAAGGGGGACTTGCCTTTTTGCCATATACTTTTCTGTTTTTAATTTTTACCCGGAAGTATTGCTTACACGGGTTTTAGTCCTGACCTTCCTTGGAACTCTCATTTCTGTCATAGCTTTAGCACTGTTTCTTGTGTTTTATTTTTAAATTAATAAACTTTGCACCATTTATTTTTAAATTTCCCAAGAAGAGTGGTCATATATCACTAGCCTTAGTTATGTAGCATTAACCTTTCTACCCTGTTGGTTCAGCAAATATTTATTTAGCTTCTGCTATGTGCGTGGGCTCTACTCTTCCCTACAGCATACTTTTTTCTCAAATAGCTCCTCTTCTCTTCTTGTTCTTTATCTTCTGTATATGTTCTTCCTCTCCCATTTTCTACTCCCTTCTGAAACCCCTTTTCTTCCTGCATTAGATCCTTCCAAAGGACATTGCATCCTCACGGGTGCCAGTGCTGAACACCGCTCGCCTTGGCAGAGCACTGTTTTTTCTGGTGTCCTTGGTTTTATTATTTTTAATCCTCTAGGTTCACATCAGCGTTGTGGTTCAGTCACTTTTACAGTCCAAAGTAATGGGAGCGGTGCTCTGGGAGGCGTATGGCAAAGGGGCCATGAGTGCAGAGCCTGGCTTTACCACTGAGAGCCTTACTCAGCTCTCTGCCTCCATTTCCTCACCATGGAAGTGAGGGCACTGTTGATAACTACCTCAGGAGGGTGGTTGTGAAGATAAGGAAACAAATCATCGAAGACAATTTGCACAGTGCCTGGCACATTGTAAGCCCTCAGTAATGTCAGATACATCATTTGTTGGGCCCTGTTCACACAGAAATGCCGCGTTCATTATTCCTGATATTTGTTAAAATGTTCTATAAAACTTCATCTGGAATAGGACTTGCTGAGAATTCAGTTTGTAGACAAATGAAGGAAGCACGTCTACTGTCAGACATGGTGACTATTAAAGACGCCTTATCTTAAAGGATTTAGTCCTTGTATCCCCCCTAAAACGATGTGAATTTAAATCTTTAATACTGGTAGAATGGTGAGCACAATCGAAGGAAAAGGGAAGAGTGAGATTTATATGCCAAACATTATAAACAAAGCCCTAATAGAATAAATACTCCAAACTGTTTTTATCAGTTGCTTGGAATGAATGCACCACCACCGACGAGAGAATTTCCCTCTGTAGAAGTAAAACATGCCTTCAGTACAAGTCCAAATGGTACAACTTGCCTTTTCCACTTGGCAGTTTATCTTGGAAGTCTTACTACATCATCAGTTAAAGATCCACCTTGTGTCTTATGACTGCATAGTATTTAAACAGTCTTCTATTGATAGATACCACGGTTTCATGTTTTTTGCTAATACAAATAATAAGGCAGTGAATATTCTCATACGTATCTTTTCAGCTTGTGTGAAACATCTATAGGATAAATTCCTAGCAATGGAATTGCTCAAAGGGTGGCCCCTAGCTTCCAAATGGAAGCAGACCTTTGGTTGGAAGTGAGTAGAAATAATTATTAATAGAACAAATCTATAAATTAGGTTTATATCTCCATTTTACAGAAAGGCAAACTGCAAGATTGCATTGCTAATGCCTGCCTAAGCAGGGATTTGTTTCCACATCATCTGACTGCAAAGCCTCTGCTCTACTATCATACTACCTTTCACAGCTCTTTCTAGAAAGCGACTCTGGCCAGGCCAGACTTCCCATTTTTGAGAGATGGAAAGCTGTGCCCATTTCACATCCCTTCAGCAGGAAGAGGTGATACAAGGAGAAGCAGAGGGGAGAAATAAAGAGGTTAGGGAGGATACTGGTCTATCTGGCATGCGTGGGTTTTGTGGAAATGATTCCTCAATCTTCTTTGATAAAGAAGAGATGTCACAAGTACAAGCTTACAGATGCCATTTCCATAATAAAAGATCATAATAAAAATAATTGAATACCCATATTAAACACCTACAAAAGCATAAATACTTGGGGTACCTATTAGTATGGGTTGCCAGAGTAGGATCCAGCACCTTTACCTGGGAGCCAGGAGTCCAGGTTACTGGCCTTCCTGCACCTACTACCTTTCTCTGGGCTGCTGATGCTTCCTTCCCCCAGTTAGTAATATCACTGATAAACAGATGGGACCTCCTCTGAGCTGCACCTCAGATGGCTTTTGCTGTGCACGGATGATTTATATACACTTAATTCAAAAGAGACAGCAGCTTTTGTGTCTCTGCTGTAAAGTAGATTATAGCAGAATTACTGTTGAGCTCATGTTGGCTGCTGCAACCCTGATGGTGCCCACACGGTGCCCATGAGCAGATCAAACTACAAGAGAACTGGAGTCACAGGTTCACTTAATGGTGTGCCCGGGAAAAGGGTTGGAGGGTTTGTTTCCGGAAGGTTCGCTGAAATGTAAGGATTGTGAATAAGGAATTATAAACCACTTCTGGTAGTTACAGGCCTGGGCTGTGGGTGGGTAGAGACTTGGATGAGGAGAAATGGTATGATCAGTATTATTCAGATAAATGTACAAGCTATTTTATTGGAACACTGTAGCTGGTGATATTAACAAGATAACCTGTAGGTAGGATAATTTCTCATTAGATTGGAGAGATATATTTATAGCCTGTTTCCCATTATATAATGATAGGCTCTTAATGGAGTAGTAGACAATGATATGGGTAATAGCTTAAACAGCCTGTCACTTAAGTGAGTTCAGGAATGACAGGTTTCTTTCATGCATGAGGTACTGAATACATTTTGAAAAACATCATAGATATGGATTCAGGTTCTAGTCACATCCCTAATGAAAAACCACTTTATGTAAGTGGAGCCCTGGTGGCACAGTGGTTAAGCGTTCAGCTGCTAACCAGTAGGTTGGCAGTTCGAATCTACCGGCTGCTCCATGGAAACTCTATGGGGCAGTTCTACTCTGTCCTATAGGGTTTGCTATCAGTCAGAATTGACTCAACAGCAACGGGTTTGGTTTTGGTTTGGTGTGTGTGTGTGTCTGTGCGTGTGGTGGAGGGTAGTGATGAGCTGTATGTAATATACCTTAAATCTGCCTTAATTTGCCCTTCAGCTAAAAAAAATCATCTTTTATTTCAAAGCTGTTCCAGTTCCTTTCCCCAGCTTTTTTTTTTTTTGTAAGAAAAGCAAGTAAAATAAGATCTACAAGTCACTAAGGTGGCCTTTGTTGTTTTAACCTGTCCCACTGCTTCCTAATTAAACAGCTGTTCTATCCTATCCTCACCTAGATAAGCTCGTCTTATTTTTGCCTGGAACTGGCAAACTCCCAAGTGTGCTAGATTTGAGAGACCTTGGCTCTCAATGAGGATTGGCATCTCCACTGGTTATGAATGGCATGGTTTTCCTTTAGCTTGTTTACAGTTCAAAACTAGCAGTCAGCGGCGTTAGCAACCCACCTGAGGATATGAAGGACATTTTCACCAACTTGGGTTTGCTGAATGAACAGGGCTAAATTGAATTCTTAATTACAAGTAAACTAGATGTTTACAGATTTTCCTGTGTTACAGCTCTCGTCTCTAACTTGTATCTGTAAATTTAAGAGCGTGACAATTTAGATTCAGCTTTGCTTTTGTGTCCTAAGAGTTCTTTCCTTAATAAATCTCAATGGAGACTACAGAAAGTTAAAATATAATCTTGTAAAAAGTCCAAAGATGGATAACAGATTTATCCTCCCAAAGATCATAATCCTGTTGATGAACGGAAATAAGCCCAGTAGTTCTTCACCTTAATAGGTTCTTGGTCTGGATGGCATACTGGGAGAGGGCCAGAGAAGGAGGCAGGAATTGTGGCCTGTCCTGGAACACCCTGTCCTCAGATATGTGTGGTGCATCTGTCGGAAGCTCACAGCTCCAGCTCAGGAATGCCCTTATAGTTAATATTAAACCCGAAGTAAGTCACTTTAAGCTCTCATAGCAATATCTTTCATTGGATATAGGTTAACACTTTATGTGTATAAATAAATACTTGTGCTTTGCAGTGTGGCCAGCTACTTATTCAGAATAAGTTGGAAAGAACTTGTGTTCTCAGGAAATGTATGAAAATACACAACCTCACCAATTAGGCAGAAGGTAGATGCTGCTTGTGCCCCTTTGCATGATTATGAGTGGAATTGTGAGGAAAGCACAGCTTGATTGAGAAGAACAAGATTAAGCAAAAACTTGGAGTGATCTAAAGAGAAACATGGGTAACTCGTGAGCTACCTCAACTTTATTTTGAAAATATGTAAGGTGTAAAAGATGGATCAGGCTGGATTCCTGTGCCCTTTAGCCCTTGCAGCATGGAGGTAGATACTCCTGCAGACCACAGTGTTCTTATGCACGCAGGTTACCTCCTAGACTGTGGAGACTAGTATCTGGGCCTTGGACTTCTGAGAGGCTGTTTGACAATAAACCATGGTTAAGTACCTCATTACACTCAAACCCACTCCTGCTAAAGTTTTGTTTCTTTCTGTTTTGAATAACATACTATGTCATTTTCTACCTAAACAAATGGGATCTCACTCTACGCACAGTTTTGAACCATGCTTTTAAAATTTAGTATCTGCTGTGTTCTTAAACACAGCAGATACTAAATTCTTAAAGGAGCCCTGGTTGTACAGTGCGTAAGCGATCGGCTGCTATCCAAAAGGTCTGTAGTTCCAATTCACCAGGGGTTCCTTGGAAACCCTACCAGGCAGTTCTACTCTGTCCTATAGGGTCGCTTTGAGTCGCAATGGACTAGACAGCAGCGGGTTTTTGGTGTTCTTAAATGGAGCCCTGGTGGCGCAGTGGTAAAGAGTTCGGCTGCTAACTATAAGTTTGGCAGTTCGAATCCCACTGGCCGCTCCCTGGAAACTCTATGGGGCGGCTCTACTCTGTCCCATAGGGTCGCTATGAGTGGGAATCTACTCTAACGGGCCGGGTGGGGGGGGGTCTTTAGATATTCGGGGGGGGTCTTTAGATATTCGGGGGGGGTGGATTATAATGGGAGTGCCTATAATTTGAAAAAGGGTTTTGCTACTTTGCGTCTCAGAAAATACGGGGTTTACTACCCTTATCCCCTCCCCATCTTCCTGCTGTTTCCCGATGGTCCCCTGGCACTTGCCCCAATGTGATCCGCAGTGGCATTCGTGCCGGCCTGGGAGCTCGAAGTTCTGCTCCCACGTGGCAGGACATGCTGCTTGCAGGTGGCCCGGGATCTCCCCCCGCCCCTTCTTTCCCCGCCTCATCCCACCGCTGCGCCGCGCCGCGCCACCGCCCCCCGGCCCCCGCTCCAAGCGCATTGGCGCGGCTGGGGAGGGGGCGCCGCACCGCTGCGGTCCCTCTGCAGCTGGCTGCTAGCTCACTCGCAGGACCGCGGCTGCCCGCTGTCTGGACCCTCGGCCCCGACCTCGGGTGCAGGGTTGGCCAGGGACCCCGGCCGCCCTTGGTAAGTAGAGGCAGGGTGAGGAGGCTGCGGGAGAGGAGGGTCCGAGGCAGTGTCTTGGGTCACTTACTGGGCGGAAGCTGCCCCGCTGGTGACGGGAACCCGGGCCCCAGAGATGGAACCCCGAGTAAGAGCGGGGGAGGTCGGTCGTTCGCTGGAATTGCCAGTCAGGCGACCCTCATCAGCGCTGCCCACCCACATCCGCGTTCCAGCTCATCAGAAAAGCATGGGTTGCTCGTTGCTCTTTTCCTTCTTTACCATTTTTTTTTTGAGGGGGGGGGAATGTGATTTCGGGTTCCTAGTCATTATAATGTTGCAGAGAGCTCGAAGCTGGGTTATGTGTTCCACGTCCCCAGCACCTTCCTTTTTTTGAGTCTCCTGCGGTCTATGTCCTGCCATAAGGAGCATCAAGCCAGAATGAGATTCCTTCCTCCAGGAGGAAGCTTCGTGGTCCGTAGCTGGTGCTGGGAAAGATTCACTGCTTTCCTTAGGAAATGATTGCTCTTTGCCTCTGTGCTTTTCTGCTACAGGGAAGAAGGGAAGGTGGTGTTTTCTGTGGCTTTAGACTTGTCGTGTTGTCAGAGAATGACTAAAGAGACTTAAGATTTCCTGAGGCGACAAAACTACCCTTGCAGGTTAAGAGCGAATCATTTGCAGTCTAACATATTCTGCGAAGTTGTGATGTCTTCAGTTAGGTTTTCTGTTCCGGTATTTATTTCTGCAGTGTGATATACATTCAAGAGAGCGTCTCAAGAAATTGTCTTTGGCCATTTCAGGTTAGTTTCCAATGATGCGTTCCTGAACATGATCTAATTTAGTTACTTCTGTTGGTAATAAATCATCTGCTTAATAAAAACAGGTGCTGAGAACTCACGAGAGGTGAGAAGACTTAAAGCTAAAATCAGCTGTGATTCTAGTGCTTATGGAGGAATGACATGAGGCCGTAAGATGTTCTTATTTTAGTTCCACCATTGTTCTAAGTTGAATGACTTTATCTTTCTGTCAGAGGCACAGAATATGCAACAACCAAACTAAGAGAATATTTACTTGTATCATAAACTGATTTTCAGGATTCCAGTTCCTTCTCCGGTTCATAGAATGAAGGACTACACAAATGAAAGTTCAACAGTGAGAGGTTTACATAAAAAATAGTAATAAAAATAGTACAAGGAAAGAGCACCTTTACTTATTTTAGTACATCTGTCAACTAAAATTCACACGATTTTTATTAAAGGATCACCTCACATTTCTACTCTTTGATATCGTTCTACCATCATTTTGAGTTAATTTTAAAATGTAACTTTGTATTTATATATAACTAATCAGTTTGCCAATTGCATAACTTATCAATTTATATTTGGCTTTTAAATTAGTTCCAGAACCAAGAAAATAAAATATAAAAATTTCAAAAGCTTGGTTTTAAAATAGCAACAACTCAGTCTAGTCTTGGTTCAATTGTGAGTTGTTGGGCTGTATTACGGTTAATTAAATGACCATTAAACAATGTCATAAAATGTTGACTAACGTATCTAGTGTAGATTAGCATCTTCAAGCAATTCATCTTCTGAAGAAACTCTTAAAGCCGTTTATCATAATGGTTTAGAGAATGGGCTTTGGAAGCACAGTCCATGGTTGAATGAGCTCTGCTGCCTAATTAGCTTTGTAATCTCTGGCAAATTGCTTTACTTCTCTAAACCTCAGTTTCTTTGTACGTGGTAATACCACCACCTGCTCACTTTGTAATGATGTGGTGAGGATTGGAAATGTATGTAAAAGTGTTCAGCACGGCCTAATACACAGGAGTTGCTCAATAAATGCCAGCTATTATTATTGTTAACTCCTACTGACCTTCAACTATGTGCTCATTATGATGGAAAAATACGAACATCAGATACTTAGATGACAATATCACAGTCATACAACTAAATTTAAGAGCAGAGAATGGCAGTAATGTTAAGTTTCCCTAAGAGTATGTATGAGAAGTAGCACTTCCTTGACGGAACACACATTTTTAGAACAGAAACCTTACGGTGTAATGGAGAGAACACTGGAGAGTCAAATTCTTGAGTTTTAACTCTGGCTGTGACTTTACCTAGCTCATGGCTTTTGGCAGGCCAACTGCCCCCTCTGGAGCTCAGTTTCATCATCTGCCTGGATTTGAATTATCTGGAATAATTGAATAATCTAAGGTCCTTTGCGGCTTCAAAGTTCTTTATTATATGTAATAAAAATTATTAGCTTGCTTATCATTCTGCTCTTTGTTGTTTTTATTTGTATGTTTGCTAAACTTGCAATTCAGAGTCATACACAATTCACAAAGACAGAACAACAAAGAACTGACAAAAATAATATCAGATTTGCAGGGTAATCCAAAATGAAGTTTTAACAGAAAGAATACAGCAAAATAGATTCACACTGAGATCTTTTTGATAGGGCAAAAGTAAACCCCAGTTTTTATTCTCTGGTCATTTCAGTAAATTATATGAGAAGCATGCCTGGTAGAATCACACATTGCTTCAACTGAAATAGTCTCTGTAGAAAATATTGGCTAATAGTGAAATAAAATACCACTCTCTTTTCTCTCATCAGGTAAATAAAGCAAAAATCTAACCAGTTATGGTCTTTCATGAAGAAATTTAGGAGAGAAATTACAAGCAATAGAGAAATCAGGCATTTGGATACTGAAGAAACCATCTAAAACAATTGTATGGATTAAGACAAAAGGAATGAAAACGCCTGGAAGAAATTTTACTTTGTATGATGTTATTGTCCACCTTTTTGTCATAAAAGCCTGATAAGGAAGAGAGAATATAGTTTCTCTAGAATGAAAGAGTGTAGTGTAAAAATGGAGACCACAGTTTCTGAAATCCAAGTAGAAAACAAGGATGAGAAGACAGCAGCAGAAGTTAGTCCTCAGGACGAGAGGCAAGAGGAAAAAGGCTCCACGCTCTGCTTCAAGAGAAGGAAGAAAGCAGCCAAAGCGCTGAAGCCCAAAGCTGGCTCTGAAGCCACCGATGAAGCAAGAGCTTTTGATCAGCCACAGCCCCTAGGAGGGGCCTGGGCCTCATTCAAACGTCTTGTAACACGAAGGAAAAGGTCAGATTCTTCAAAGGAGCAAAAGCGCTTTGAGGCTAAAGTGCAACCTGAAATAAATGCTGAGGATGCTGGTCTTTCCAAGAAAAAATCCAGACTTAAAATTCCCTGCATAAAATTCTCAAGAAGTGAGAAAAGAAGTAGTCATTCCAAAATTATAGAAGACTCAGACTGCAGCATCCAAGTGCAGGGAGAGGCTGGAAGTTTGGATACAAAAACTCAGACTCAATTGACTGACCAGACAACAAAGGCCAGGTCGATTCAGGATCTCCGGAAAGGTGTCTCACAGACACCTGAGATCGGTGAAGCGAATGTGAGCAACAGCATAACTTCTCCTGCAGAGAAAGTGGTTTCAGTAGAACTTGGATTAGTTACTGGGCATTCTGCTATTCAGACAGAAACTCTAATTCTTGAAAAACATATTGAAACGATCCAGGAAAAACAAGGTGTCCAGCATGAGCAAGCAAATCCACCTGAAACTTCAGAAACAGACCATCAGCTACCAGTGGTTTCTGATGTTCCTCTCCCACCGGCAATCCCAGATCAACAAATTGTAGAAGAAGCCAGTAACAGTATCCTAGAAGGTGGACCAAATTGGAAAGGCCATGAAAGTAGAGAGATTGTAGCTAAAGAGAGTAAGCGTAAAGATACCGAAGTGTGTACTGGTGAATCAGATACTAAAGAAAATGAGATCAGTGTGGAGAAACCCAAATCAGAAGAAAGCAAAAGGATGGAGCCAATTGCTATTATTATTACAGACACTGAAATCAGTGAATTTGATATGGAGAAATCTAAAAATGTCCCTAAGCAATTTTTAATTTCAATTGAAAATGAGCAAGTAGGGGTTTTTGCCAATGATAGTGGTTTTGAGGGCAGAACTTCAGAATACGAAACACTGTTAATAGAAACAGCTTCTTCTCTCGTCAAGAATGCTATCCAGTTGTCTATAGAACAGCTAGTTAATGAAATGGTCTCTGATGATAATAAAATAAACAATCTTCTACAGTGACTTCATTTCCAGATCATGGGAGAAGTTTAAGGTTCAACGATGAATTATTTTACACATTTGTGGCATTTCTTAATCATTAACAAATGAGAGATTTATCATCTGTGGAATTTAAAGGTACACTTCCAACCCAGAAGTACTAAAGAATAAATCAGGTTTATAAAGCCCTCCCTACGGAATCAACTCGATAGCAACTAACAATAACAACCACTGAAATGTAGTCACTTCTGGATTGGAGGAAGTCACTACAGAATGCAGTGCAAAGTGACATGAAGGGAGCTGTTAAAATGGCATGTGGATGTTGGGGTGCTTTTGGGAAGGAAGATGTATTTATTGAGCACTTACTGTATGCTATAAGCTCTTTTGTCCTCTGGTGTCGCGAAGTCTGGTTTCCTTTTGATAGTTCAACCCTGTGTTTAAGCTAACATTGCATTCAGTTTTCAACTTTTTTTACAGTGCATTTTTATATTGTTTAAAATGGTGAGTAAGGCGAGATATTTTTCTGAATGTGTGCTTTATAGTTGTTACATTCCTGGGCAATGGTCTTACCTCAAAATGTGTATTGCATTTTCCCAGTTTCAAAACAACAACAAAAAAGAGGAGAATTTTGTTTTTCATTCAGGAGAAGGAAAACTTCCCAAGTAACAAATTATCACAGATAACATAGGATCCATCTTGCAGAATTACTTCTCTATGGACCATATTCATCAACCCCTCCTCAAAGGGAGAAAGGATGCAAGGCCAGCCCGGCAGTAAAAGCCCTATGGAATCATAATCATTTAGTGAAAATATTACTCATTCTTGACCAAGAATGAGCCATGTACATGGTTAAATAGAGTGAAAAGTTATTGCTAAAGCACATTATGTTTTAAATGTCAGCATTCTTTCATTGTGTCTGTGTGTTGAGAGAGACCAGTAAAAAGCATTTTACATGGGTATTGAAAATTAACTTTCCCATTGGTATTTTCAATCCAGCTAATCCATTCCAAAAAAAAAAAAAAAGAGAGAGAATGACAACAACTGCGAATGGCTTGTTTGCATTTTTTATTCAGATATTTAAAAGGGGAGCATCTGATTGAAACAGTAATTCTATTTCAATCTTTCCTTGTGTGAAATGGCCACACTTCCCTACCTCACAGGTTAGGGTTTATATCGTGTTGTCCCCAATTGTCCAAACTGAATAACGGTTAATTACCACTTTGAAAGTAGATGAAGTAATGAAGAGCTTCGTCTTGGTGGAAAGAATGTACATTCAATGATTTTAAATGATCTGGGTGAGTTCTTATTTATGGACTGCATATAGAAAATATGTGCTAACTTGTCCTACAGAATCTTCTTTCTTGCTGTCTCTAAGTACATATTGAGACCTCTGGCAGAAGAAACTAATCTGACTTTGAATTTGAACCAAATAATAGATATTATTAGCAAGATTCTTTGCTGGAATGCAAATCTTACCTCAGAATATGTATTGCATTTTCCCACTTCCATGCTTATAATCTTATAAAGAAAAAAAAAAGTCCTTCAATTTAGCGAGATGAAATGTGGTCTTTCAAAACACATGACCCAATAAATCAATTTATTTTAACCGTATAACGTTTAAACATTTTTTTAAAGACTGCTAAGTCATCCTCTCTAAAAATACTCTAATTCACTATATGCGGTGCTAATGGACTTGAACAGCTACCAGCAAATATCGTATTTAAAAGTGCACAATTTTTGAAACCTGATTAAGGTTGGTGCATTTTACAATGTTCTAAAGAATCCTGTCTTTATTTACTGCAAGGATGGCTCAAGCCAATATACTTGTAACTTTTTAGTAATTTCTCATGAATGAGCAAAAAAAATACAGCACTTACCAGTTATTGAAAATACTTTGGAAGGTTTAGGCATTATTTGAGATTTTTAAAAACAGATACCAAGTAAATATGTATGACTGTTTTTGTTGTTAATAACATTTTAACTAGTTCTAGATTTCTACTTTTTCACTGTTGTTTGATATATTTTTGATTAGATTATATTGATTGTTTTTATGATGAGATGTATATTCTACTTACATTCATTCTTAAGTGGATTCTCCTCAAGTCTTTCCTATTGAGACTATCTGGTGAATTAAATAAGTAGGATTCCAGTTTGAAAAAGAAATCCAGAAATTAATTGGTCCCAATCTGACTATATCTGCTGCATGGACAAATCCTGTTAACTATAGTGATTTCTAAGGTGACCCAAATTGTTTTGCTATTATAGAAATAAGCAGAGTCAGATGGCTTAGAAGTCTCTCATAAAAGATTTTAAAAATTATAATAGTATTTATTTTAAGGAATTTGATCTTTTATGCAAGATATAAATAGCCTTTTATTCAATTCGCATACATACGACAATATTAAAATGATCATTTGAAAAGCAATTAAGAATATATTAATTTTCATTTAAATTTGCTGTGATATAAATGCTGCTTTTAATGAACATTTATTAATTAGCTAGGATTCAGTTTCTCTTTGATTTCAGAATTTTACAAGATTGGGTGGTTTATCAGCTACTTGTTAACATTTTCAGCATACTGTCTTTCCCCTTTTAAGAGTCAAGCATTGTTCACTTTGCTCCTTACAACCCAGTGAATATGAAAATCCTCTATTTTATGTAGCACTGTTCACTTAACATTTTCTCAAAGCACTTTTATAGGATATAAAGATAGTACCCGGTAACACTTAAGTAAAGGTAGCAGAAAACAAAAGAACTTTCAAACAGAAATTATGTTCCCTGCCACCTCCTCCACCTCTAAGAATAATAAGCATGTGGCACAAATGCAGTTCTTCAGAAAAGCTGTCTGCATAATTTTCTTTCAAGGTAATCTATTTGACAACATCAAGTTTGTGACACTTTTAATTAGTCTACTATTTAGTGGAGTCTTAGAAACTCTCTCATTTCCTTCTGAGAGATTGTTATTTCATCAGTGTATGTGAACAGCCTTCCTGCAAAAGGTTTCTGGACATACGAGTCAGGAGAGGGCACTGGGCAAATCTGGCTTCTGTATGCAATCCACATTAATTTCATCCACAAATTTCTAACTTCGAGTTGCCTTATTTTTTATAGTTAAGAATGAATTTTTTAGGAGTTTACAGCAGAATTTTTTAAATAATTGCTGGGCTTTAGAATTCCATTGTTTGAAAAGATCCTTTTATTGCTGACTTTATTCAGCTATGTAAAGTCTCCTTTCTAATTTCATCTGATACTACAACAGGGTTTGACTTTCTGCCTGCCATTTCTGCGCTTTTGAAAATCCTCATTTAAAGTTTGGGGTTCTGTAGGTTCAAATTCCTATGATGTTTTATTGTATAACATGAAGTTTCTTATTGTACAGAATTCAAAATTGTAGTCAATACTACATTTTGTGGTACACCTTCTGAAAAGAATTTTTACTGTTCCTTATTTAGTAACAAAAATGTAACTATCAAAAGGAAGCTACATAAAATTTAGTGTGTCCTAATTTAATTCAATTTGATTCAACACAAATGTTAGGCGTAATACATGCCAAACAGTTTGATGATGGGCACAGGCTCCTGGCCCTCCAAGAGCACATCCTAGGGAGCAGTGACAATGGCAACTGGGACAGAAGCTGAGGCAAACAGCAGGATAATGCAGCAGCATCAGTGCCACATCAGTGCAGATGATAAAAGTGCTAGGGGAGTATGAGGAGAGAACATTTAATTTTGTCTTGTGGGAGAGAGATGGAGATATGAATACAGGGGCAATTTGAAAGCATTAAGTTTCTAAATAGTTAAACAGTGTATTCATTCTGATTTGTGAACAGGTGAAGAAAAAACTCGCATAATATGTTACACATTTATAGTAGTTCTTTGTCTTTAAAAATGTTAAGTGGATGAGCTATTACAAAGTAAAAGTTCCACTATTGTACTTCTCATAATAAATTAGTACTATATTACTGTGGACCAGATGCTAATATTAAAGAAATAATACTCTGTAGAAAAAAAGTTTTAAGCTAAATTAAAATATGTACTGATTATTAATACAGAATAAATGTTATACTGGCTTATGTTTTATTTTAGGCTATATTATTTATTCATGCCTGCCAAAAGTTTTACTCTGTTGATTGCATACTGGACAGACTTTCAACGACATGCCTAACAGTCCACCTCCAGCCAAAAGGAACCCAAACACCTAGAACTTGATTTCAGTTTTATGAAACCCTGTTTTCTCTCCAGTAATAATTGGGCCTTTTGAAAGACTACTATCCAAATGTTGGAACAACTTAAAGTTGAAAGTGCCTTAAGAGTTCTAGAACTTTGCTTTGTTCCTAAGTAAAATGTCTTATTAATGTACAAACATTGTACAAAGGGTATTTAATATTTCACAAAATTTAAAAATTAGTTTCATTAAATCACATCTTTCTAGTAAAAAAGAAAAGGATAACACTACTTCTTGCAAAACTTGTCCTCACAAGCAATTCTGCTAATCCTCTTTTAGACTTATGTTTCATGCTGAAGTTTGGGGTCCCCAACTCCTTTTTGAATACCTACCTTTTTTTTTCTTCTGGAAAGCTTGTGGTCACCAAGCTTCCTGAGCTAAGGAAAGAGAGTATATGTGTGTTTGAACATGAATACGCTATACACACTATACATTCACAGGTATATACGTTCACAGAAAATCCTCAGCAAAGCTGGGTACAGGCACCATGAACAATTAAGGAAAATTTAGGTAAGGGGGGAACCCTGGTGGTGAAGTAGTTAAGAGCTATGGCTGCAAACCAAAAGGTTGGCTGTTCGAATCCACCAGCCACTCCTTGGAAACCCTTGGGGCAGTTCTACACTGTCGTATAGGGGTGCTATGAGTCAGAATCGACTTGATGGCAATGGTTTTTTTTAGGTAAGGGGAGCATGGTGCAGTGACTCTTAGCTTTGAAAACCCCTTTAAAATGTCTCTGTAAATTCCAACCTATCATAACATCAGTAGTAGCTGTGTCCAGCAATTTCTGCACATTAGCAAGATGAGAAGCGCTTTTCCAACCACTTCCTCTGTGGCTAATCTCAAATAGAACTTTCGTCTTTATCTTGATCTTTATGATTGTGCAATTACAGGGTAGAGATTAAGCCTTTTATACCCTTTTCACAGCTACACTCACAGCCATAAAACCCAGGCCTTCCACTTCCCCATGGCAGATGCTGTCATTTGTACACGTGCACTCGAATTTTATTCCCAAACTCCTCCTTTGACATCTGTACCTTCAGGTCAGTGTGGATATCAGTGGCTCTCTGGGCCACATCTGTAACCAATCACAACTAATCAGAGGCGCCAAAGGCACGCATGTTCTAACCAATCAAATATCCTCAAGTGTAGGCTAGAGTGCTGAGGTTTCACGTGAAATAGCCATTTGTAGCATAAGAACTTTAGTCAGAATATCACTTCTCTTTAAACGAACCATCCGAAACCTGGCACTTCAATCCTCCTGATCAAAATAACCAATAAAAACTGTCCTTGTCTTCTGCGTATGGCTGAGATGGATAGAATGTCAGAACAATTGGTCACTACTCAATTCAGGTGAAAAAAAAAGTCAACCTGACATTCTAATCTTTTATCCAAATGTTCTACAAACAGCCCTATCATTAATTTGCCTGATTTATGAGTGAATTTGTTTAGAATGATATTTTTAATTTTACGGGTCTCCTCTACACCCTATTATAGATGTCTGGCCAATGTTTTTCCTGACCTGCAGAAGGATTAACAGTGAATAATGACAAGCATTATGGTTCACTAAGGTCTATGACTTTTTTATATTTATACTGGTGGCATTTTTTTTTTAAATTAGGGTATAATTTACATACTGTAAAATTCACCCTTTTTAGTGCACAGTGCTACAAATTTTGACAAACATATAGAGTCGTGTCACTTAGGGGGTGTTAATTTTATACCTTATTCTGAAATCATTGCGTTTTATACCACCCCTGTACTTTGTTTCTTTCTCCCGTGGAGCAGCTGGTACGTTCCAACCGCTGACCTTTTGGTTAACAGCCAAATGCTTTGTGGGATAAAGACGTGGCAGTCTGCTTCTGTAAAGATTCACAGGCTTGGAAAGCCCATGGGGCAGTTCTACTCTGTCCTTTAGGGTCACTATGAGTCAGAATCGACTTGATGGTCATGGGTTCAGAGGTTTCTTTTCTTTTTTTTGATTTTATTTTTTGTACTTGTAATTTTGTACTTGTAAATGTAATTTCCTGACTGTACCAGTGAGACCTGCTCCTTGCTACAGAAATTCAAAATAAGAGCTTCTTAATCTGGACATTTAAACCAGAAGGAAAGGCAGGGCTGCCAGGCACACCCGTGCAAACTCTGCAGAGCCCAACCCTAATCGCAGCATTCATTTGATGGGTGGCGCCCCTAGCGTTGCGTTGTGTGTGATCTGCATGGCCATACACTGTGGCTCTAAATGAAGTCGCCAGAGTCTGAGAGACCTGCAGAACCGTGGTGATGTTAACAATGAAGCAGGAGATGATTAAACAGAAAAGGAGTCTTTCCCGTATGTGCTTTGCTTCCACACTTCAAAAATACTGTGATAGAGGGAACGGGAACCACTGAGTTCTGCACCAAACGTTGCACATATGTGAAGGGAGAGCAATGCTGGGAAATGAGAACTGGCCCCGTAAGAAAACTTTTGAGACTCAATCCCCTAGAATCTCTGGTCTGCATTTTAAAACCTTTTTCCTTACCTTTGCAAATGTTATATTTTCTCCTTCAAAAAGTAACAGGTGTGTCTGTATTGGCTAAAAAAACTACCGTAGGTTTTCAGATTTTCCTCCCTATAAGGCACTTACTACAAATGCTAGTTACCAAATATATATATATAATTAAATGCTTATCTACATACGGTTCGGACTGCATGGTGTCCACTACAGAAAACGTGGCAGAACTAAATTCATGGGATCTCATTCCTCAAAGGCCTATTTGGTCTACACAAATCTGACAAAGACCTTCCTGAAACTAAGTAATAACACTGACTAGACAACTACAACTGGTAAAGGCTACTTTCTCAGGCCTCCTTCCTGAGGCCTCCCTGGTTCCCAGCAGTCACCAGGGCAGCCATGCAGAACACCCCTTGGGGAGCACTGCCGACCCCTAGACTTCTGACATGAAAGGACACCATGATTTTCTAATAGCTTCAGGGAAAATACTTTATTTCCATTATCTTGATACAATATCACCAGCTTGTTTCAATTAAAAAAAAAAAAACTTTCAGCATTGTACAAACATTGGAAGAGAATGTATCTGAGGGAAAGTGGGCTCATTCTCCAAGTTGGCTAATCGGTTATAAAATAAACTTAATAGAGTATTTAGTGATTAGATATTAAGTCCTAGAATAAAATTAGTAATAATGTTGCAAGCAGAAATGATGGGAAAAAACCCTGAAGGCAGACTGTGTTCACTCAGCACAGAAAAATAAGTTGAAGGTGAGACAGCTATATAAAAGATAAAGGAGGTCTAAGCTTACTCAGGAGCCCTGGTGGCGCAGTGACTAAGAGCTACAGCTACTAACCATAAAGGTCAGCAGTTCGAATCCACCAGCCACTCCCTATGGGGTAGTTCTACTCTTTCCTATAGGGTTGCTATGAGTTGGAATCGACTTGACAGCAACAGGTTAAGCTTACTCAGAGAACAGAATGGTTGGAAGTGAGGGAAGAAAGAAAGAACACCAGCTTCTGTTGAACCATAGTTGAAAAAGAAAGTCATTTAAAAAAAAAAAAATAGTGGCTTACCTCACAGGTTGATGATGAAAAAAAATAAACAAGAGGCAAGAAATAAGCACAGGAGTATTTACTCATGGATTTATCTCTTGAGCAGGCAGAACATCAAAAACTGAGTTTGGGCTGCTTGATTAGAAGAGCTCGTATGACTGGGACCAAAACTCCATGGCCTTGCTGTTAATAACCTGGATCCTAAGAAATGCTCACTATAACAATCACAGTTAATGTTCTATTTTAAAGTTATCTGAAGCTATAATATATTTACATATAAACTGGAAGCATCTTGATCAAGGAGGGACATCAAGATATACGCACTATTATGGAATTCTATGAAAATTCCCATTAATCATGACTCTATAAAAGAAAGCAAGATCTAAGAGGAGCTAAGCACTGAATAGTGAATTAAGCAAATAGTGATGCCAAATTTGAACATAATGTAAAATCTATTTTTTAAAGGTACACTGGTGCCACCTTTTGGCCATATTAAAAATTTACCTCATAACAAAAATACGAACCTACAGTCACATTTTATTTCATGAAGAGCCCTCTTTAGAGACACAATTATTTAGTTCAAAAATAATATGAATAGATTTAAAACTACCTTGCTGCTTAGTATATCTGTGCTTTTTAATAATTACGTTTTTTATCTTTTAAAGGCTGAGATAAAGGATAAGTAGAATGTAATTCTGAATTAACACATCTCATATTCCGTCAGAACAGTATGAACTCCAAAAATAACTGGGGCAGAAATCCCAAATTTAACTTTCTTTGCATCCTTTAACTCTTGACAACTATCACAAAACTAATTTTAACCTTCTAGACCAGGGTTGCTCAACTTCAGCACTAGTGACATTTTGGGCTGGATAATTCTTTGGGCGGCTGTTCTCTGCACTGTATTATCTTCAGCCAACATCCCTCGCCTCTACCCACTAGATGCCAGTAGTAACCCCCGCCCCAGTCCTCAAGTTGGGACAACCAAAAGCATCTCTACACTGCTAAATGTCCCTGGCAGGATGGTGAGGAGAGGGTAGTCCGGAGACGAGGGGAGGGCAAACTGTCCAGGTTGAGAAACACTTCTATATTTTCTTTCTGAGGTGGCAGGGGGAAGGGAAGAAATACAGTAGAGAATAAACAACAGAAAGGAGCAAAGCAGAAAACATCTGGAAAACGCCTAGATATTACTTTTCTGTCTAGAGACAGTAATTAGAAAGCACTTGATTAGTGCATCAATATTCTATTAACACTGATCATGGTGATAAGAAATGGGTTCAGTGGCGCATTTTGCATTACAACATTCAAAATGCTACCCAGCACAAGAGATTACTTACCTCAATACTAGGAAGACAAGGTTTGGCAGACACTGCTGTAAAATAAGAACACAATCTATAAGCTGAGCTAATAAAAGGTTTTGTCTACGACTAAGTCACATTAGTTTATTTGTCATGATAAAATACATTAAATCCACTGTTTCGCTTCTAACCAGAGGATACAAAACTTTCTAAAGAAATGTTTCTGGAGCAAATTCACAGTACATCAGGTGGAAGAGTTTAATCATACAATGTATTATTGATTTCAGTCTATTTGCTATGTGTTTTGTATCTTGCAGATTTCTTCAGTGGACTTTTTTTATTGTATACATTTTTGTAATCCAGGTTTCTTTAAAGTACTTTGAGTTGATATTTAATCTAGTCTGACAAAATCACTTTGGCACAAAACAGAGGTGTTGGTAACAATATCAGTTGCATCTGGAATAATATCTACTAAGTAATCAAGTGTGGCACAGATACATAATGAAGAAAATGGATTCTTCCAAGTCTTGAAGACAAACATCACAGTTTGTAACTCCTCGTATTTAAGACATCCAGGCTTGGGGATTGTGTAACCTCACCAGTTTTCAAAGAGTCCAACCATACAAACACAGAATTACAGCAGAAAATGATCACAAATTTCACTCTTAATTTAAAGTAACTATAATAAAACACCATACAGCTACATTTAGTTTAAGACATACAAAGACACTAGTTACATTAGGAGAACTCTTAACGTGGCCTATTTTTACTTCAATATCTACAAAAAACTGATACTTATCATTAAGAGTTTGAGTTACATCAAAAATTTGCCTGTGCACGTAACCTTTAATGGAATTATACATTTTCCAAACTGTTTCCATGATTAATATAATGTCCCTCAGTTTTAAGTGAAGCCTTTTTCAATACTAAAAAAAGAACATAATGAATTACTGTTATTCCCTGCTCCACTTCCTGTCCCTATCCACTGTTCATATAACTGAGATGAAAGAAATGTGAATGTTTCTTCATTGTTTTTGATCCTTTCCCTGTGAGTAAACAGTATGTTTGGGGGAACTTTCCATAAAGCTGAAATTGGCAAGGCTTTATTCCCAGTAATACCAAAGAACTAATGTCCTCCTCACTGAAGGCTAAAGAGAAACACTGATAATCAAGCTATGGTAGAATTCTAGCAACATTGCTTTTCTAGGGTAGTCATAAAAAGTAAAAATGAGCTTTGTCAATTAGTTATTGACTATTAAAGAGTGCATGGCTGCATTCTAAGATGTTCTAGAATTTACAGGTTGGAATACCGAAGTTAATAGGTTTAGCTACAGAATAAATGTAGTTTTCTTTATATGGCTGGTTTTATCAGTGATAACTCAGAGAACTTAACACAATTTTAATACAAATCCTCACAACACCCCTGTGAGGTAGGTATTTCTTATACCTACTTTACAAATTTGGAATCAAAGTCAGAGCAAGGCATAACAATATCAAGAGTCATAAATCAAGAATTTTTGGTTTTCTTATAAGGCAGACTGCACTTATCACATTCTGAGTTCTGACAATATGCCAATAAGGACAAATACTCAAATAGTCTGTTTTTCTCCAGAAAACAACTATATGTGGGATCTCGAAAGTAGGGAAAATTTTAAGCTGATCCAAGGGGAAAATGTCTGTTTAATATTTGCTTGATACGTTGATGAAAGTGCATATAGCATTTCCAGTTTTACAAGCTTGGTAATCATTAGGCAAACCACAATTATATTATTAGCATACTGGCTAAGATTATAGCTCCATTTTGCAGATGATTTAGTCCAAGCCAAGGAGTTTAGCTGGAAGAAATTTATTTAGACAAAGTAGATTTTCTTAGTGAGGAATCATATCTTAAAAAAATAGACTTAGGGCACAGTGTTAGGCCTGTGAAAGTTATTTTTAAAAATACCCGTTGAATAAACAAAAAAACAAAACTGGGTTCAGTCCTCATACCCCTATTCACTTGCTCTCTGGAACCAAGCTTTTGGGATTTTATTTTTTTTTTGGTAAAATGAAGTTAACATTTTTCTACTTCCCAAAACAGAACATTATAAGGATTAAGGAAAGAACATTTGCTTTGAATTCCTAATATTAAAAGGAACCATGTGAATAAGAATAAAAACATGGCTAATCACTCCTTTCTTAACTGCCAACAACACAGATATACCACTGCTTGCAATGAGTGTTGTCTATCACGGCCAGTGGCCACAAGCAAACTCTTACCATTTCTCTAGAGTCTGCCCTGAATTGCTGCCTTACCCTCCAACCTTTATACATCCCTAATTCCCACCCTTAGCTACACATTTCCTGTGTCAAGGACTAATGACTGGGCAAGTAGGAAAAAATATAGAAGAGGAAAACCAGGAAAATTGTTATCTGAATGAGAACAATAAAATTTTCCTTGAAGGTGGCTAGTGAGCGTACTCTAAATAGCCTAAGATACATGAAACCAGTGTTAATATTTGTGTACCTGTATTTTGAAAATTTCTTCACTGGGCCTTTTTTATGGTATATATTTTTGCAATCCAAGTTTCTTTTAAGGTGCTTTGAGGTGATATTTAATCTAATCTGACAAAATCACTTTGGCACAAAACAGAAGCATTGGTGTCAGTTAATGTCAGCTGCATCTGGAATACTATCTCCTAAGTAATCAAGTGTGGCACAGATACATATGAGATGAAATCTTTGAGAGCAGTATGAGTTTGAATAATTGCTTAAATGGTTTGGTAGAAAAAAGTTTAAGACTGGATGAAGTCCTGACACATTTGTTTTAACCATTCAGTACAACTGATCCTATATCCATAACTACTTAGAGTTGCTCTCAACACACATCAATCTTGACCCCAGACAGCTTTGCTCACTTGTCTAAGGCAGAAACTCAACTGCTAACCTGCTCACCAATGCTCTCCTTCACATCACTTTGTAATTCACCAAAACTCACTGTTTACCCAGAGAAAACCTTTGGGTCCCAAGAATTAGCTGTATTACTCTTGGAGCACGCTCCCGACTGAACACTGATGCTGTTGAGTATGTCAGGAAATGTCCTCAGAACTGTTCTGTCAGGAGTGTGCTCCAAGAGTTTTTATATGTGGTTAAATTCTAAGCCTCATAAACCAAATTTATTAGATTAAAATATTTGTGAGACTTAGAATTTAACAGCAGGGCAGCATACAAAAAAGATGAGGTTATTGTGGAGCCTGTCTGTTGTTAGTCTTGACTAGTATTTGAAATTAAAAAATTTCAGAAACAATTTAGATCCATTCTTTGCAGTGAAGTTTGACCAGCTATTTCCCAGAAGAACAGAGAAAGATAATTTATCATTTATTCCATCAACTTTAGTTATTCTTTTTGTTTAGCTTTGTGAGTTCCACCATTATAAAAGGGAGCTAAGTTTATTCATAGAGGGAAATCTATAATCATGGTTTTAAACATAGCTCTAGAACACTGAATGTATCCATTCTGCTGGTTTGATAGCCAGAAAAAAGTGAAAACTGTGCCACTGAAAAATTACTTTTTCAAGTCATTTTTAGAAAATTAACATCAACCCAGGCCACCTTGAAAATCCTCTGACATTGAGGGTAGAAAGATGATTTGTATTTTATCATTTTCCTCTTTAAACTCATGTAAACCTCTGGTTGTAAAAATCTCAACTTGCTTTAAGGTCTTTAAGAAAACACTCTAGATTAATATAAGAAGGCTGGGGTGTTAGTCAGTGCAGGTCTATCTGAATCTTCCTCTCTCTGTGCTTATCTGTGTGAATGTACCCTACTGTTTCTCTCTTTAAGATTTTTTGTCTCTCTCTCTTCCCTTTATTTTTTCATTAAAAATGAGGTATGCACAATATTGAGAAATAAATGTTATGTAAGATGTTACAGAGCTAGTAAGTAAAAAGGTAATCTTAAAGTTATGCATGATTTGGTATGCATTATAAGTATGCGTTAAAATAACCATTAATTTCCTAAGTGGCAGAAAATATTTTGAAATAATCCTTTGTAGGGGCTTAATTCATGTGAAATAGTCAAAAGTGGTCATCTGGAATATTCTTTAAAACTGACTTCATTTACTTATATTCAGTTTGATTTTACTGGCTCTATAATCTGGAATAACATAAAAATTCTATAATTATTCACTGTAAAGTTTTCATATTTCTACATTGATTCCTGATTTATAAATTGTGATTTAACTTATGATTACACTTTAATAGCCATGTATTAATATAATATGTCATAATAAGAAGACCTAATATATACAACTTTAAAACTATGGGTAAATGGTAAAGAAGAAAAAAAAAAGTCAGTAGAACTTGAGGAAAATAATTTATGAATAAAAAAATGCCATGTGAATCTACTTTTTCAGAATTCGTATAAAAATTCTGAAGAAGCTGCTATTCAACAAGGATAGTGTCCACATTGTCTTGTGTGAGCTCTGGCTGTAAGGCACAAGACGAGTCTAAGTGGTCTTGCGACAAGCGAGAACTTTTCATGGGTACATCAGACCAGGTGTCACAATACGGCTGAAATCTCTGGGCCAATGCATTACCAAACCTTTGGCATCGGTTATATCTGTAAGATTTACCTTTGTGCGTATACATGTGTTCCAGCAATTGGCTCTTTCGGAGAAATTTATGACCACAGATGGTACAGCTGATTTTTCTTTTCCTTGAAAAAGAAAAATTACAGTTTAATTCTACTGGCTCTGTGTCTTTGGAGATCAAAGACACTTGACTGATCTGCAAAGGCTCTGTGGTGTCCCGGTTTGAGTGGTCAGGCTGCTGTTCATTCTCCTTGACAATGAAGGAGCTGAGCCTGGGGCATTCTACAGCCTCGCTATTTTCACTGAGGGGATGTACTTCACCAAGGTCATTACTTTCCAGAATGGAGGCTGGGACACCGAATGGGAGAGATCCAGACACGTGGGTATGGAGGTGTTGTCTTAGGTTATTACGGGAATCAAAACGTTCCCCACAGTAATGGCATAAGTGTATTTTGATACTGCTTTCGGTGAAAGTGGGGCCTGTCACCTCTGAAGAGGGTGAGAGATGACTCTGGGAGATCACAGATTCTGGGTCACATCTCTCCTGCTTGATGGACACTGGGGGCTTCTGGTGCTCCTCCAAGGCCTGGGCTGCAGGGTGGGCCCTCTGCTGGTCTGCAGTGCCATCATCCAGCCCAATAGCAAGAGAGAGCTGCAACTGGGGGTGGTCACTCTGGGCAGCAGCTCTGTTTCCACTGTTACTGGAAGGAGGTTCTTTGACCTCTAGCCCTTGTTTGACAGCTGTTTTTTGGGTCGTTGAGATCTGAATGCCATACAGATTTGAGGACTGCACAGTCTCTGGTGAGAACACCTGATTCATCTCAGTCGCGATATGAGAAAGGTAGTCGGCGTGAAGAAATCGAATCCCTTCCTCCAAACGACTATGATCCACAATCTGTTTTGGCCCTTTCCCCGTATACATAATGTGCAACAAATAGCTGAATATGTCGGGTTGGATGTCAGTTGGTTGTATTTTTATGCATTCACTGTTAAAAACAAAAAACAGACCCAAACAAAATGAAACACAACCTAACTGGCTTTTTAGTTAACATATCTAGTCTTAGGCTAAAGTAATTTCTTCCTAAGAAGTTCAAACTCAGCAGTCTGCCTGAATGAAACACAGGAATGAACGCTAAAACCTTTATTTTATGCCAGTTTTATGGCACAGTAACAGCTCTTCCTGTATTCAATCTACTGTAGGAATCCAATAGAAAGTTAGAAAACACAGATAGATACTCTGGTTAGTTCAACATTTATTAATTGCCTCCTAAGTGACATGGACTATGCTAGGTGCCAGGGAGTAGAAAAATGAATAAAACAGGTAACCTGCTCTTAAAGAAATTGGTAATATTAGAATTTAAATTACAGTAATGTTACCTTGGCTTTCAAAATACGTTAAAATATCTACTCTTTAAATCACAAATGAATACAGCTATAACTTTGAAGAGTTCTAAAATAACCCCAAACTCAACTTTTACATATGAATCTAGAATTCAGGTAACAGATGGGAATGACTGTGTAACAAGAAATCATGAAACTCCCTAAAAATTTATGGTAGAGTCAATTTGAGGGAAGTGTTAGATGTCAAGAACAATGGATTGGTCAATGGACTTACCTTCCCTGAAGTAGAAGTCTGTGTGTCAGTGCATCAGCGTGCACTGGGTGTCAGTAAGCTGGCCTTCCACTTCGTTAGTCCTGACATCTCAGGACTCCCTCTTCCTCCCTCGGAGTCCACTCTTAGCTCTCATACCCCTCCCCTGCTTATATGGTCTGTGGTAGGGGTTTTAGATCAGCAGAGAGTTTTGTACTGAGGACTTTCAATTGCTTAATAGGGAGAAACCACACAGCAGGCCTGCCACCTGTATATCTCCTTGATTTAGTTTTGTGCTGTGCCTGGCACTCAACAGGTACACTGACGGCTGAACCAACTCACAGCTTTCAGAGGAGACTGATCTGAAGGTAGTATTTCTAATACGGTGAAGGAAACTCTTTGGCACGGCAAAATGGCTGCCCATGACCAGTGGCCCCTACCCTCATACCCACTCTCCTCTTTGTGCTATACATTCCAATCATGCTGGTCTACTCAGTTTTCTGAATGTGCTGTCCTGGTTTGTATCTGTATAGGTTTTCATGCATTTTTCCCCCTTTACCTGCTATGCACATTCTTGCCCTCCTCTACAAAATCTGGAAAACTTCTCCTGATCCTTCAAGTTCTCTAAATAGGGCTGCTAACACCGTAGTCTACATTATACACACTTCTATTATAGACTTAGAGTAATTATTAATAATAGCATCAGCTAATAGTACAAAGTTCTGTTTTATGCATTTAAATTTATTAATCCATTTAATCTTCACAATACCCATTTTACAGTCAAGGAAACGGAGGCACAGAGAGGTCAACTGCATTGCAATTATTCATTTTACATGTATCAACTCTCTACTAATGATGAACTTCTTGAGGGCTGGGAGTATAACTTACCTGTTACTGGGATCTAGCACAGTGCCCAGCACTTAAGTACTTAATATATTTCAATGAATGAACAATAAATATATATACACACACATATATATATAAAATGGAAGCTAGACTCCCAATTATTTCATTAAGGTCCTTTAAAGAAACAAATGGTGTTTTGTCACTTTTAAGCTAGTATAAATTAAAAGGCTCTTTATCAAAAGCTCCAAATCTGAATACCAGTTTCCTGTTCTCCCTACACACCTATTGTGTTGGGGTAACCCAATTTCAAAAACTCAAATAAAAAACTTTTTGAGAAAATATCTGAAACAAAATGACTTTCGAACTCTAATATGGAATATAAGGTGGCTAGAATTATGACACTAGAATCTCATTACAGAAGTAGTATGGACCAGAAGTCAACAAGTTAACGATTAAGCGCGTAGACCTTTAGCTTCAGACAGATCTGCATCTGAGTCCAACTTATTGGCTGTACAATCCTGGACGGGCAAGTTACCTAACAACTCAGTCTCAGTTTCCATTTCTCTAAAATAGGGGTAATGGTAGTATTTACATTACAGGGTAAATACTCAGTGCTTGGGTAATAAGCCTTTAATACACTTTAGCTATTATTATTATCATTCTTATCTTCCACCATGGATCCAATACGCTGAAATGTTTGATTACAGATGTGCCAAAAAACAGTTACAATTTTTTCTATTCAAGTTGACCCATAACAAAAAAAAAAATCCCCGAAATGATGTTATAATGGGCTCACACATATTGCAATACAAAAATTCTGACTTACAAAAACATATCCTTACCTTGTTTGGTGAATAAATATCATCTTGAAATAGTTAGAAAAAGCAGCCAGCACCGCTCTGTGGGCTTTGAAGTAAACATCTCCAATAGCAACGGTGCAATCACACAGAAAACCAAACTCTCGCTGCATGTTCAGTTGCTGCAGAAGGACGAGGCTATGGCTAGCAGTGTCCATCGTGGCTCTGTGAAAAAGGACAATACAGACAGGTTTTTGTTTGTTTTGTGTTAATTGGCTGCAGTTCACATAAACCTATAAAGTAGCAAGGAGACCTAAATTTAGATGCAATTATATCTAATAATTTTCAGTACTGTTAATTTTACCCCAAACCTAGTTAATGTTAAATGCGGCAGTTACCACAAACTCTGCTGACCATAAGATATGACCTTTCTTCACCTGGTAAGAGAGTGCTTGGTATGAGAGACATGGGAACAAAAGCAGGGCCTGCCCTTTTCTAGCTATGTGACTACAATGTTTCTAATTCTGTTTCCTCATTGGAAAAATGGGAACGAGGTTACTTATGTGAAAAGCACATTGTAAACTTGCAAACTACAATTCAAATGTTAGCTATAAATGTTAACAATGTAACAGGGTGTCCTGGCTGGGCTACAGCTGTCACTACTCCCTGGGGATCCTGTGTGCTCATGTGAGGGGCACTGGTCTCCCAACTATCACAGAATGTTTAACTTATCAATCACAGTGAGTTCCGGAACCCTTAAAATAGATGCCAAGCGACACCCCTGATTTACAAGGGGCCCAAGCCTCAGGGGAAAGAACCTGAGCCCTGATCTTAATTAGGTTCAGACACGTACAAACACGGAGGTCTCGGAAGGAAGCAGAATGCAGGATGGGACAACTGGGCTTCAGTGGGAAAAGTTATGCATATGCAAGAACATGCAGGAGAATTCTGGCTGAGCGGCCAATGTAAGCAGCAAGGCCTTGACATTAAAGAGTGCCATGGTTCCAGGCAGGTAAGAGGCTATACTTCCCCACCTTCCCCACACTAGCTGTGCAGACAACCCTGGTGCTTGAAGGAGAAGGTGGCTACAGTATAAAGGGCATCGCTGGGTGGCTGGGAGAACCTCCTCTGAAAGAGCAGATCCTGAAAAGACAACGAGGCTTCCTTACTTACCAGAAAGACCACAGTCTGAGGAGGTCAGCTGTGGGGGTGTGGGGTCGGCTGTCTGGAGACAGGCAGTAGCTTGGGCAGCAGACAGCGGAGTGATCAATTATATAATAAAAATAGCTAATACTTCATAGTGCTTCTTATGTATCAGGCAAGAAGCCCTGGTGGCGCAATGCTTAACTGTTCAGCTGCTAACTGGAAAGGCCAGTGGTTCGAACCCACCAGCAGCTCCACAGGAAAAAGACGTGGCAGTCTGCTTCCATAAAGATTACAGGCTTGGAAACCCTGTGGGGCAGCTCTACTCTGTCCTACAGGGTCGCTATGAGTCAGAATTGACTCGATGGCAGTGGGTTTGGTTTGGGATGTATCAGGCACTGTTCACTCATTTAACTCTCAATACAACCCTACTTGAATATTAAATGCATTTTACAGATGAAGAAACTGAATCAGCACGGGTAAGTAATTTACCTAAGGTCACACTGCACAGCAGAGGATTCAAACCCATGCACTCCAGCTGCAGTACCAAATTTCCTCCCTCCCCATCTCCCAGAGGTAACATGACCTTACACAGCACCCACAAACTGGAAGGGCCTACAGAACAGTCAGGTTACAGATAAAGGCACCTCTGGGAAGCCTCAGGAATATTTGGAAAGAGGATCAGGGAGAAATCTGGGTTTCCTGATGGCTAAGCAAATGTGAGACAGCAAAACATTTATGCTTATTAGTGGGTGAAGTCTAGAACATAACTGGTAAAGATAACAGTAATTATTACTGATAAAACATTGAATCTATTTTTATTAAAACTACATATTTGATGTACTGACTGTTCCTAATCTCCAAGACATTATTAAGAGAAAAAAGTAAAGCATAAAATTTTATAGAGAAGACTATTATTTACATAAAAGGAGTGGTTATTTTTTTTAAAGGTGGGGGAGGAATTTACACATAAATATATTATTGTTTATGTACATACCTCTGGAAAGATTCAAAGAAACCTGTAAAATGTTCACTTCTGGGAGGAGAACTAGGGAGGAGGGGGTCAAGGGTGAGTGGGGAACTTTTAAAACCTTTCTATTGACGTTTAATATCATAAATACATACCTACATATACCCCTTTTTCCCTCTTCATTTTTTAAAATTATGAAATATTTCAGATAGACAAATAGGTACAGAGAAGAATGTAACAAACACCCATCCATCCACCCACTATTCAGCACAGAAAATAAATATTACAAACATAATACAGACCCCTTGGCATATCCTCCTCATTCTATCCTCCCACCCACCTTGCCTCCAAAGACAACCACCATCCTGAATTTGGTGTTACGATTCCCTTGTACGTCATCACATTCTTTCTGCATATGAATATATCCCTAAACACAGTATCATTCTGCATGTTTAACAATTTTATATAAATAATATCATACTTTAGGAATCCTGCAACTTGCCTCTTTTTTAAACTCTATACTCATTCATTACTTTTAAGAACCCTATATACTCAAATCTAATAACTTCCCCATCCTCCTCCTATTAAAACAAAATTCTTACCCTTACCATCTCGTTTTAAAAGCTTTTAAGCAGCACTAAAATAAGAAATAATAAGATAACAGAATCTACAGAGAATTGATGATATGCTCTAAGACTATAAACAAAAATCCAAATTGTAGGTATTGTTCCAGGAGGCCATTTAACCGAGTCACTATTTATTGTATTTACCACGTTTCTCTGAATTCTAACACCATCAATTTACAGGGAGATTAAAAACACAAAACTCTATATTAGACATTTCAGTATATAAAAAAGTATCTTAGAATCAATGAAATAGCTCAAATGGAAGTATCTTAAATTAGCCTTCCAAATTGTCTCAAAAAACAATCAACCCTCAGATCATAAACGTTTTCTCCAGTTCTTCCTATATATAGTAATGCATTAGTATAATGAACCATTGAATCTTATGGAAATGAGAAAAGGAAGACTAAAGTTGTACATACAAAAAATCTTGTGGTTAATGGTCTATGAGTAACAGTAATTCTTCACTTATTCAACATTTTTGAAGAGAAATTTAATAAAGAAAAAATATTTGAAAGCATGCATTGTGCAAGGCACAGGGATAGGAAAAAAAAATTAGACACAGATCCTGCACTCAAGAAGATTACAGGCTAATAGGGGAGATAAAACATAGTAATTACAATATGAAGTAAAAAGCGATAAGTGCCGTAAAAGCAGTTCAGAGAACACACTGAGGGGGAAATAAATAACAGGTGACCCAATGGAAAATAAGGCATTTGCACTGACTTAGATGAATAGGCAGAAAATGAGCATAGCTTCTAGGCAGAAAAAATAGAATGAGTAAAAGTATAGGGAGGAGTATAAATACATAGATAACAGTTCAGTTTGGCATGTAAAAAAAAACAAAACGAGAAGTAAATAATGAGATGGGGTCAGCTCAGAGGGTACTGAACATTAAGACTAAAAAGTACTCCAGTTCTGCTCGAAATGGAGAACTACGTAAGACATTTGAGTAAGAACAGCATGATAATTACTTATTTTGTGGGAGGGAGAATAGCATAGTAGTTATAGCTCAGACTCTGGATTTAAATTTCAGCTCTATCACTTACTAGCTGTGTGATCTTAACAAGATACTTAACTCTCTGGGTCTCAGTTTCTTCATTTATAAAATATGGATAATTACAGTAACTACCTTATAGGTTGTTCTATGGAGTTAATAAGATAAAAAGCATATAAGCACTTAAAGAGTGGGGCCCATAGTAAGTGTTCAATAAACACAAGTTATCATCACCACCACCAACACCACATCATAGAGCTGTGATTCAAGATTACTACAGCAGCAATATATTAAAATGATCAGCAAGGAAAAGTTATGGAGAAAGACCAGCTAGTGGGCTACTGCAATATTCAAGTAATGGCAGTGGGAATGAAGGAAGAACTGCAAGAAATATACCAGATGTAGAACTGATGTGATTTGGTAGCAGATTGGATGTGATCAGCCACAGAGATAAAGTCAAAGAAATCCAACCTATTCATATGGAAGAATACGTTCATTCCTTCAGCTCATATTTGCAGAGCAACTGCCATGTGCTAGTGTTGCTATAAAGGTAGGGTCCCGAAAAGCCAGAGAAGAGGCACAGAAACTGGCTTGGTAGAGAGAAGTTGTTTTGGACACAGTGAGTTTGAGATGTTTATCCCCAGGACACTTAAGTAGAAATGTTTAGTGATCAGTGAAAGCAATATACAGGACTGGGGCTCTAGAGAGGGAAGGGCTAGAGAAAGAAGAGGCCTCTGAAATGATAAATTTAAAGTCACCAAGAATGGATGGAAACCCCAGTGGTGTAGTGGTTAAGTGCTATGGTTGCTAACCAAAAGGTCAGCAGTTCAAATCTACCACGTGCTCCTTGGGAACTCTATGGGGCGGTTCTACCCTGTCCTATAGGGTCACTATGAGTCAGAACCAACTCGATGGCAATGGGTTTGGTTTTTTGGTTTTAATGGATGGGACTACAGAGTGAAATGAGAGGGGAAAAAAGCTAAGAACGAATTATTGGAAAACACAGAAAAGGCACAGTAAGAGAAAGGAGAGGAAATAAGAAAACACTGTCACATGAGGACAAGAGAAGGTAAGGAAAGGCAAGAACTTGGGAGGCGGTGATGATGGTGTAAAATGCTGCAGAGAAACATGGGAATGAGGCCCACTGCAAACACCCCCAATTGTGGTGAATAAGAAGTTCCCAGTGACTTCTGACAACAGTTCAGGAAAATAGTGAGGGCAAAATATCTGACTGCAAGGGTTTTTAGACAGGAAAGATCATGAAGGGAAGGCACAGATAAAATAGGACATTGTGGGAAATGCAGATCAGAGGGAGACTTTCAGGCTGAAGGGGAGCGGAGTCTAGGAATAAAAGCTAAAAGGGATGCAATCGAAAGTATAACTGTAGCAGTTTTTCTGATAATGCAAAGGACATGGCTGAGGTGGGGAGAGGGGATTTGTGAGT